CTAGCAGCCTCGCACCGAGGACCTATCCACGTCATCATTTACCCAGAATGCTTTGTGTGCAAATAAAATGGCTCCGTCCGTGTTAAAATATATTTTTAAAATTCACAAAACTAAACAGCCTACAGTATTTTTACAGTCTTTATTTTACAGTTAAAGTAAATGTTTATTAAATAAAGTCTAATGTTACAAATAATCATGGATCCTTTCAACAGCTGATGCGTCTTGTTGCCCAGAGAACAGGGGGCTGATGGGAAGTGTAGTTTACTAAAATGTTCTGTTTTTGTGTGTCAGGATTCTGTTTGTGTGATCGGACCCTCGGTTCTGTTGACCATGAACCCTCTGAACCAGATGAAGACGGGACTGAGCAACAACCCTCACAGGTACGACCCGAGCAGGTTTTTATCTGCCTGTTTTTATCCGGACCTTAACGTCACTAAAACCTCCGACCCGGTTCTGATGTGTGTACGCAGCGACGGCTCGTACCCCTACGACCCCTCCAGCTGGCAGCAGCCCACCAATCAGCCCACAGGGTCCCTGTCTGTGGTCACCACGGTCTGGGGGGTCACCAACCCTTCAGCCAGTCAGGTATGACATCATCACACGGGTCCACCAGATCCTGTTCTCTGACCCACGGTCCCAGGGTCAGCCTCTGAAGTTCTTTTTCTGTCTCTCAGGGCCTGGGGGGAGGGGTGATGGGGCCTGGGAACAACCCGGGTGGGGGCCCCATGATGCAGGGCCCCGGGGGACCAGGGATGGCTGGCGGACCCGGGGGCTACATGGGCCAGCCGGGGTACGGCGAGCACAGCAAAGGCTACATGAACCAGGGCATGTACGGGCGGACGAGCGGGGGGTACGCCGGAGGCCCGGGGGGGTACACGGGCAGGTGGGTGCTTCTGATCGCTTTGACCTTTGATTTATAAAAACTAAAGATCTGAAAAGATTTAAATAAAGTCTCTGTCTTCAGTTACCCGTCAAACCCCGGGGGCTCCCGAGGCTCCACTGACTTCACTCAGGCTGCTGCCGCCGCCGCCGTCGCTGCTGCCGCCGCTGCCACCGCAACTGCCACCGCCACCGCAACCGTTGCCGCCATCCAGGAGAAACAGAACCAGGAGATGAACTACGGACAGGTGAGACGTCCTTAATCCGCTGTTTTCTAATCCAGGGTTCCTGCAGATCCTTAAAACGTCCTAAAATGTCTTAAAAAGTCTTAAAAAGTCTTAAATCAATCTTCAGAAGTCTTAAAAATCTAGTCTATCTTAAAAGTCTAATGTTACAGCTAATCGGGGATCCCTTTAAAGTCTTAAATTTAACTGGCCTTAAACGGTAGGAACCCTGTAATCAGATTATTTAACCTGTTAAAACGGTTCTGTTCGTGTCTCAGATGGGGGGTCCGGCCTACAACAACCAGTTCATGGGACACCCTGGCCCCCGTGGCCCTCCCAACATGGCGCCTGGAGGTATGGGCCCAGGTCCAGGCCCCACGAGGGGTCCACCCTCTATGGGTTCGATGTATGGAGCTGGAGGGGTCCAGCAGAGGGTCCCTCAGCACCCAAACTATGGTCCTGGACCCCAGCAGGGTCACATCCGGCCCCAGCAGGGTCTTAAACGGCCCTACAGCTCAGAGGTGAGGAGAAATAAATCTTTAAACGTTTTCAGGTTTTCATATTTTCTGTTAATCTGTCTGTTTTGGTCCTCAGTCGTTCTCAGGAATGTCTCAGCAGTACGGTGTTCCCATGGGCTCCAGCGTCAGCGTAATGCCCGGTCCTGGTGGCGCTGGAGGGTCCATGCCGGGCTCAGGTGGAGGCGGGCACGCCGGTCCCAGTCCCGGTCCGTACTCCGGTCCCAACATGCAGTACCATCCAGGTACAGAGAGGTGGAGTTAAAGAACTGAAGGATTCTTGGTCACATTTAGGAAAATAAACAAACTTTTTATATTTTTGCTGTT